ACTCCTGACCTCAGGTGATCTGCCTGCCTCGGCCTCCCAAAGTGCTGGGATTATAGGCGTGAGCCACTGTGCCCTGCCTAACTTTTGTATTTTTTGTAGAGACGGGGTTTCACCATGTTGGCCAGGCTGGTCTCGCACTCCTGACCTCAGGTGATCTGCCTGCCTCGGCCTCCCAAGGTGCTGGGATTACAGGCATGAGCCATCGTTCCCAGCTCACCTCCATTTTATAGATGAGGACAGAGAGGGGAAGTAACCTGCTTGAGATCACACAACCAGAAAGGGTGGTGCTTGCCTCATTCCTGGTAGTCCTTTCTGCTTTGGAAGTTGCAAGATGCCTGAGTGATGGTGGTGGCTGAATGGCGCATATTTGGTCAAGTGGGATATGCAGTGTTGGAGGTGACGTTCAAGTGGTATATGCATTACAAGCTTGGGCTGTGGGTCCTAGTGACAGCCAGGGTTCAATGCCAAGCAAATGCCCAACACTGGCTGGGAGGGCTGGTTAATAATGTCCAGTATCCAAATCTCTTGGTCTCACTTGATGCCACACCTCTTGCCTGCCCCCATGAGGCAAGACCTGGTGATTCACAGGTCACTTGCAGATGCTCTACAGAAGAGCCGTTGTTTTTGTTTTTGTTTCTGAGATGGAGTCTCGCTCTGTTGCCCAGGCTGGAGTGCAGTGGTGAAATCTTGGCTCACTGCGGTCCCCTTCTCCTGGGTTCAAGCGATTCTCCTGCCTCAGACTTCCCAAGTAGCTGGGATTACAGGCACCTGTCAACATGCCCGGCTAATTTTTTTTTTGTATTTTAGCAGAGACAGGGGTTCACCATGTTGCCCAGGCTGGTCTTGAATTCCTGAGCTCAGGCATTCTGCCTGCCTCGGCCCCCCAAAGTGCTAGGATGACAGGCATGTATCCGGCTGTATTTTTACTAGAGATGGGGTTTCACCACATTGGCTAGGCTGGTCTCAAACTCCTGACCTCAAGATCCATTCACCTTGGGCTCCCAAAGTGCTGGGATTACAGAGGTGAACCACCATGCCTGGCCCGGAAGGGCCTTTTGTGAGGGTGAAGGTGAGGTAGTATTAGTCCTTTCAGAGACTCATAGAACCTTAGATTCCCAGCCTGATCCCAGACATTACCTGAAACATGTGTGTATATGTTTCTAAGTGTGTGCACGTGTAGATGACATGTAAATGCAAGTGTCTGTATGTATATGTGAGAGCATTTGCATGTGAATATAGATTTGTACGTGTGTGTTTATGTTATTTGTATGTGTGTATGCACATATGTGTCTGCATGTGTGTTTGAACATGTACATGCCTGAGTATATATGTAATCTGAATATAACTGGGGTTCCATATGGCCCACTGTCAGTGCAGTATCCCAGTCATAGGGATACAGCCTGGCAACCAAAATGTAATGAAAACTACTTCAAACTTTTACTCAATGTTAGGATTGCACTGGGCTGCAAGTATAGAAACTCCAACAAGAAATTACTTAAATAAAAGGGGTTAATTTTCCCACGTTTAAAAAAAGTCCAGGGGTCAGCTATTCCGGCTGCTGTAGATGCTCCAGGATGCCATCAAGGAACCAGGCTTCTAGCTTCCTGCTCTGCCATTTTAATTATGGGCGGTTTTCTTCTTTGTGGAGGCAGGATGGTGGCTGCATCCCAAGAATTGTGTTCATATTCCAGGCAGAAAGAAGACAAAAGCCAAAGTCTTTTCTCCTGGTATTTTGGCTATCTGTTGCTATATCACAAACCATTCCTAAAATTTAGTGGTTTAGAAAACAATAATTTATTATTTCTTTTTTTTTTTTTTGAGATGGGGGATCTCACTCTGTCACCCAGGCTGGAGTGCAGTGGTGCAAGCTCAGCTCACTGCAACCTCCACCTGCCGGGATCAAGTGATTCTGGTGCCTCAGCCTCCCAAGTAGCTGGGACTACAGGTGCCCGCCATGACGTCTGGCTAATTTTTTTGTGTTTTTAGAAGAGATGGGGTTTTGCCCTGTTGGCTAGGCTGGTTTTGAATTCCTGGCCTCAAGTGATCTGCCCGGCTCAGCCTCCTAAAGTGCTGGGATTATAGGTGTGAACCACCATGCCTGGCCTCAAACCTCTTTAGTTTAGTTTTGTTGTGGTTGTTTTGTTTTTGTTTTTGTTTTTGTTTTTTAGATGGAGTTTCACGCTTGTTGCCCAGGCTGGAGTGCAATGGCACAATCTCAGCTCACTACAACCTCCACCTCCCGGGTTCAAGCGATTCTCCTGACTCAGCCTCCCTAGTACCTGGGATTACAGTCATGCGCCACCATGCCCGGCTAATTTTGTGTTTTTAGTAGAGATGGGGTTTCTCCATGTTGGTCAGGCTGGTCCTGAACTCCTGACCTCAGGTTATCTGCCTGCCTTGGCCTCCCAAAGTGCTGGGATTACAGGCGTGAGCCACCGCGCCCGGTCTGTTTTTCTGTGTTTTTTTTTTTTTTTTTGAGACGGAGTTTCACACTTGTTGCCCAGGCTGGAGTGCAATGGTGCGATCTCGGCTCACCACAACCTCCACCTCGCAGGTTCAAGCGATTCTCCTGCCTTAGCTTCCCTAGTAGCTGGGATTATAGGCATGTGCCACCACGCCCAGCTAATTATGTATTTTTAGTAGAGACGGGGTTTCTCCATGTTGGTCAGGCTGATCTTGAACTCCGACCTCAGGTGATCCACCCGCCTTGGCCTCCCAAAGTGCTGGGATTACAGGCATGAGCCACTGCGCCCGGCCTGTTTTTCTGTTTTTTAAGATGAGATCTTGTGCTGTCATCTAGGCTGGAGTGCAGTGGCACCCTTATAGCTCACTGCAGCCTCAAACTCCTGGGCTCAAGTGATTCTCCTGCCTCAGCCTCTAAGTAGCTGGGACTACAGGCACATGTCACCATGCTTGGCTAACTAAAAAAAAAATTTTTTTTTGGGCCGGGTGCGGTGGCTCAAGCCTGTAATCCCAGCACTTTGGGAAGCCGGGGCGGGCGGATCATGAGGTTAGGAGATCGAGACCATCCTGGCTAACACGGTGAAACCCCGTCTCTACTAAAAATGCCAAAAATTAGTCAGGCATGCTGGCAGGTGCCTGTAGTTCCAGCTACTCAGGAGGCTGAGGCAGGAGAATGGCATGAACCTGGGAGGCGGAGCTTGCAGTGAGCAGAGATTGTGCCACGGCACTCCAGCCTGGATGACAGGGCGTGACTCCATCTCAAAGAAAAAAAAAACTTTTTTTTTTTTTCTTTTTTAGAGATGAGTGTCTCACTTTGTTGCTCAGGGTGGTCTCGAACTCCTGGGCTCAAGCCATCCTCCTGGCTTAGTCTCCCGGAGTTCTGGGATTACAGGCATGAGCCACCATGCCCAGCCTAGTTTTTTTTTTTTTTTTTTTCCTGCTCTTATTAGTGAATTAGTTCGGTTCTGTGCAACAAGGAGAACCTGGGAGCTGGCCCAGAAGAGGATGTTCCTTAGAAACCAGGAGAAAGGGGCAAGATTAGGAATGGTCACACAGCAATAATTTAGGCCCCATCACACCATCGTGCATGTTTGAGTGTGTGTGTGTATTTGTGTGTATATCCATATGTGTAGGCCAGGCACGGTGGCTCATGTCTGTAATCCCAGCACTTTGCAGGGCAAGGCAGGCTAATCATTTGAGGTCAGGAGTTCGAGACCAGCCTGGCTAAGATGGTGAAACCCCATCTCTACTAAAAATAAAAAAAATAAGGCCAGGCACGGTGGCTCATGCCTATAATCCCAGCACTTTGGGAGGCCGAGGCGGGTAGATCACGAGGTCAGGAGATCAAGACCATCCTGGCCAATATGGTGAAACCCCATCTCTATTAAAAATACAAAAATGATCTGGGTGTGGTGGCGTGCACCTGTAATCCCAGCTTCTTGGGAGGCTGAGGCAGGAGAATCGCTTGAACCTGGGAGGCGGAGATTGCAGTGAGCCGAGATTGGGGCATTGCAGTGCAGCCTGGGTGACAGAGCGAGGCTCTGTTTCAAAAACAACAAAATCCCCACAAAATACATGAATATGTGTGTGTGTCTCACACTCTCTTGTCCCTATGCCCCATGAGGCCACAGCAACTGCGGCTAGAGCCCAGCAGTGAGGGTCGCTCCTGATTCTCAGGGACATCCCCCTGGTTTCTTCTGGTTTGGTGGTGGGTGGGGTTTCTTGGGCCAGGGTTGGGCAGCTGCAGCCTAGTGGTCAGGTCCTTGCCTCCACCCATTTGTGCCTGCAGGTATCTGGAGATCTGCTCGGCAGAAGGCCAAGACACCCTCTTCCTGAGGGCCAAGGATGAGGCCAGCGCGAGGTCGTGGGCGAGTGCCATCCAAGCCCAGGTCAACGCTCTGATGCTGCGGGTCAAGGATGAGCTGCAGGCACTGCTGGCAGCCACCAGCACAGCTGCCAGCCAGGACATCAAGCAGATTGGCTGGCTGACTGAGCAGGTGCCTGCTGGGCCTGGGACCTATCCCTCCCTCTCTTCTGCTCCTTTGGAGCTGGCCCTGTTCCCAGTGCCCCGGCTACCTTGCCCCACCCTGGCCCTCTGCCCTCTCTTCCCCCACCCATCCTTACTGCTGTTTTGTCCCCTGCAGCTGCCCAGTGGGGGCACGGCCCCCACCCTGGCCCTGCTGACTGAAAAGGAACTGCTCCTCTACTCTTCTCTCCCTGAGACCCGCGAGGCCCTGAGCCGGCCAGTCCGTACTGCCCCACTCATCGCCACCAGGTACCCATGGGCAGGGGCAGTATGTCTCCCCCAGAACTTGCCGGGAGATGCTCCAGCAGGGCCCCAGAAGCTGGAAACTCCAGCCCTGTCCACCCTCAGCTATTCCCCAGGTGACCTGAAGCAAGTCTCTGCCCTGTCTGGGCCTCAGTTTCCTTATCTGTAAAATGGGTGCTTGGAACAAAAGGACATAAGGTCCCCGCTAGCCACTCATTCATTGACACTTATGCCTTATGCTGCATGGGTCAGAGGGCACAGAGCTGACCCCAACAGTCGCTGCCTCCAGAGAGAACCTTGTCTGATTGGGGAGACAGACCCAGGAACAGCCATTACAGTGCAGAGTTTGTAGGAGCCACTTAACTCTGTAGGGGTAGTTGAGGAACGCTTCAGGGAGGAGGTGACATCTGAGCTGGACTTTGATGGATGAGTAGAAGTTTTCTGTTTAAGAAAGGGTGAAAGAGCATCCCATGCAGAGAGAACATCATGGTCAAAGGTACAGAGGCATGATGAGTTTGTGATAACCAGAATTCATGCAGGAAATGGAGAGAAGGGAGTTGGCAGGGCCTGATCTTGCAGAGCTTCTTTTGCCTGATTAAGGAATGTTAGCTTTATCTTAAGAGTTTGGCAGTGTTGAAGGGTTTAAGCTGGGGAGCGAGGTGCTCTGGTTGCTTTAAGAGAATCCCTGTGGCTGCCACATGGAAAATGCAGTGGAGAGTACAGGATGGAAGTGGGGAAGCGCTGCAGTCGTGCAGGAGGATGATGGTGGCTGGGGGAGGTGGAAGTGGGCGGCAGGAGCAGATGGAGAAGAAAGGCAGCATTGGCATTGGAAACCACATGGGTGTAAAATTAACAGGGCTCCGTGCTTGCCAGATGGGGCGGGTGAAGGAGGGGTCTGGAATGAACAGGAGGTTTGGAGCTGGTGTCTGGGTGAGCGTGGGACTGGGGGTGGGGGTGGAAAGGGAGGAGGCTGGAGCAAGATGCTGAGTCAAGTCCAGAGTGTGTGTGGGATGGAGAGGGAGCTTGGATAGGAAGCTTGGGGACTCAGGGGTCTGCAGCTCAGGGCTGGAAAGTGGAAGGCTGGCGTCAGCAGAAGTCTGGGGGGGAAGTGACCTATAGGAGAAAGAGTGGGTGAAGGGAGGAACAAAGAGGGATATGGGGCAGAACTCTTAGGTCTGCCCCAGAGAGGGGCAGTTGGCTTACCAAGGCCACACAGCAAGTGACAGTCAAGCTGCAGGGGTCTGAAGTCCTTGTCACCCATGTCTCCTTACCTCAGGCTGGCTCTGGCCCGTGTGTCAGGAGCCTGCTGGCTACTAGGGATAATTAGGTCCTGGATTGTCTACCTAATCAAGTGATTCAAGTCAGGCAACAAATGTTTATTGAGCACCTACTGTGGTCAGGCATAGTTTTACTTATTGGGAATACAGTGGTGAACGCAAGATCAACATTTCTAACCTAGCTGACATCCTAGTGAAAAAGACAGTGAAAAACCAACAAAAACAAATAATAAAAAGTATAATTTCTGGTACCATGATGAAAAAGTAAGGCTAGTGAGTGACAAGGGTGCTATTTTGGACTGGCAGGCCAGGGAAAGCTTCTCAGAGGAGGTGACATTTAAACTAACATCTGAAGGAAGTGAGGGAGTGAGCCATGGAGATAATCAGGGAAGCGTGTATAGGCAGAGGGAACAGCATACGCAGAGGTGCTCAGCATACGCTGAGGCAGGCGTGTGCTAGGTGTGTGTGAGGACACCAGTGTAGCCGGAGCCAAGGGAGCGACAGGGAGGGTGGCAGGAGATGTCTCCTGCTGAGTCAATCAGTGCCCCCTGGCAAGTCCTGTCCTGTTAGGTGGTAAAGGATTTACAGGGTTTTTCCCAGGTCATTGGCCCCTTTGCCCAGAACTATTTGCCCCCTGCCCGAGGCCTCATGCTCAGCCCTCTGCCCCTCACCCCCAGACTGGTGCACTCAGGCCCCTCCAAGGGCTCAGTGCCCTACGATGCAGAGCTCTCTTTTGCCCTGCGCACGGGCACGCGTCACGGTGTGGACACTCACCTGTTCAGCGTGGAGTCACCGCAGGAGCTGGCTGCCTGGACCCGCCAGCTGGTGGATGGCTGTCACCGGGCCGCCGAGGGTGTGCAGGAGGTGTCTACAGGTGTGCTGGGAGGATCTGGGAGTGTCCCTCTGGTAATGAGCCTCTTATCCCCAGGGGCATTCAAGCTTCCTTCTTTAGGGCACTTCAGGAGGGGACAGAAAATGGGGTTTGGAGGTCAAGGTGGGTGGATCACCTGAGGTCAGAAGTTTGAGACCAGCCTGGCCAACATGGCAAAACCCCGTCTCTACTAATAATACAAAAATTGGCTGGGTGTGGTGGCTCATGCCTGTAATCCCAACATTTTGCGAGGCTGAGGCGGGTGGATCACTTGAGGTCAGCAGTTGAAGACCAGCCTGGCCAAAATGGTGAAACCCTGTGTCTACTAAAAATACAAAAATTAGCCAGGTGTGGTGGCGGGCGCCCGTAGTCCCAGCTACTCAGGAGGCTGAGGCAGAAGAATTGCTTGAATCTGGGAGGCAGAGGTTGTAGTGGTCCCAGATTGCACCACTGCACTCCAGCCTGGGCAACAGAGCAAGACTCTGTCTCAAAAAAAAAAAAAATAATAATAATACAAAAATTAGCTGGGCATGGTAGTAGGTGCCTGTAGTCCCAGCTATGCAGGAAGCTGAGGAACAAGAATCGCTTGAACCCGGGAGGTGGAGGTTGTGGTGAGCTGAGATTGTGCCCGCTGCACTCCAGCCTGGGTAACAGAGTGAGACTGTTTCTCCAAAAAAAAAAAAAAAAGGAAGTTGCGTTTGGGCCCTCTGTTTTGGATGTGCAGGTGCCCTGGCAGGCAGAGACTCTTCTCCCTGGGGTTTTCTTGCTCCAGCTTTGTCAATCTGCTGGTGAGGATGTGAGAGATGGCACTTGGGGTAGGGTTGCCAGAGGAAATACAGGACACCCAGCCTCATTTGAATTTCAGGTTAACAATGAATACTTTTTTCACAGAAGTATGCCCAAATTAGTCATTGTTTATCTGAAATTTAAATTTAGCTGGGCAACTCTGCAGGTCTCCAAGGGCGGTGCTTGGTCGATCTGATGATGCCTTTATCAGGAGTGAGCCTCCAGTCCATGGCAGATTTTAAGCTCCCCCTTTCTACTTGTGGACTGGAAGTGGGTGTAGGTCCTCTGAGGGTGGGGGTGATGACTCTCTGCAGGGTGGGTGTACAGGTGCCACGACAAACAGTGAGCCTCCCGTCCCTGGAGGCATTCAGGCTCCACTTTGTAAGCTGCGGTGGGGGTTGGAGGTTGGGGTGTAGTGTCTGAGGTGCCAGCTGTGCCTGTACCTATGTGCCCTCCCTGCAGCCTGCACATGGAACGGGCGTCCCTGCAGCCTGTCTGTGCACATCGACAAGGGCTTCACACTGTGGGCGGCTGAGCCAGGTGCAGCCCGAGCTGTGCTCCTGCGACAGCCCTTCGAGAAGCTGCAGATGTCTTCAGATGATGGTGCCAGTCTCCTTTTCCTGGACTTTGGAGGTGCTGAAGGCGAGATCGTGAGTGAGGGGCTGCCTTTGCACCCTGGGGAGGAGGGGGTATGCACTCTTGGAGGCCAGGCTGGCCAGGGCCCTGACTCTTCTCTCCATCCACCCTGCAGCAGCTGGACCTGCACTCGTGTCCCAAAACCATAGTCTTCATCATCCACTCCTTCCTCTCGGCCAAAGTCACCCGCCTTGGGCTATTGGCCTAGAAGTCACCGGATGCACTAGCCCTGAAGAGGGGTGTCCATGACATGGCCTGAGCTGGGCCTCCACCGACTGCCTGCTCACCCCTGGGCTGAGGGAAGGGAGAGGAGAGGAACAAGAGCCTCTGAGACCCCACCCCTGAGGGAGACTGGATTGGTCTTGGGGCCCGGGGCCCAGGACCCAGACCCAGGACAGAGTGGACTCTGCCTGTGATGGGGTGGCCTTCCTGCTGCCCCCCTCCACCAGTGCCTTTTGCGGAGAGATATTTTGTGTACACAGAAGCCATTCCGAGTCTGGGACCTGCCCCTGTGCGGATCCTGACCCCAGCCAACAGCTGAGCTGCCAGGCCTCCTCGAGGCCCCTAAGCCACCCCTAGAGGTCCCATCTGAAGCTGGAGTCCCCTGGGGTCAGCGGCAAGAGAAGCAAGAGGAGACTTTGTTTGTTTTTCCCCTCAGCCCTGCCACCTTGGGGAGTCTGGTTTTTCTCTTCATCCTCTCTCTCCTCCTTACTCTTGGATAAATAAACAGCCTGTGAGACACAGGCAGCCCGGCCCAGTGTCTGTGGTCTGTGCCTTGGCCTTTGGGTCCTGGGGTGGCTCCTGCAGTCCCAAGATGGACCAGACCAAGGACTGGGGCACCTTTCCCTGGAGAAGAACAGACTTTTACCACATGGGCCAAAGAGAGTGTATTGGTTATCTATTGTTGTGTGACAAATTACCCCACATTTTTGCAGCTTAAAATGACAAATATTCATTATCTCTTAGGTTCTGTGGGTCAGGGATTTGAGAGGGGCTAAGCTGGGCTGTTCTTGTCTCAGGGTTGCTCATGAGGTTGCAGTCAAATTGTCAGCTAGGGCTGCAGTCATCTGAAGGCTTGACTGGGGCTGGATGATCCATTCCAATACTGCTCATGCACATGGCTGTGGGTAGGAGGTCTCCGTTCTTCACCATGTAGGGCTAACCCTAGAGCTGCTGCTTGAGTTTTCTCATGATATGGCAGTTGGCTTTCCCCACAATGAGACAGAAGAGAGAGCAAGGAGGAAGCCACAAACAGTGCCTCTTACGACCCAGTCTTGGAAGCCATACACTGTTGCTTCTGCTTTGTTCTATTTGTTAGAAGTGAGTCACTAAGTTCGGTCCACACTCAAGGGGAGGGGAATTAGGCTCCACTTCTTGAAGAAAGGAATGTCAAATAATTTGTGGATCCATTTTAAAGCCATCTTAGAGAGCTTCAGGACCCTTTCCTGCAGAAGGGAGGTGGAGTGGAATGTGTTTGGTGCTTCGGAAACTGCGATGTGCTGACTAGATGTGAGTGTGTGGTGGTTATGACTCCCTACTAAAATCACAACGACAACAGCAATGATGGAGAATTTTTTTTTTTTTTTGAGATGGGGTCTTGCTCTGTCACCCAGGTGGGAGTGCAGTGGTGTGTTCGCAGCTCACTGCAACCTCCACCTCCCGGTTCAAGCGATTCTCCTGCCTCAGCTTCCCGAGTAGCTGGGATTACAGGTGCCCACCACTGCCCACCACCATGCCCCACTACTGTTTTGTAGTTTTAGTAACGATGGGGTTTCACCATGTTGGCCAGGCTGGTTTTAAACTCCTGACCTCAAGTGATCCTCCTGCATCAGCTTCCCAAAGTGCTAGGACACCGTGCCCAGCCCAGAACTTTTTTTTTTTTTAACTTTCTAAAGGTTCAGTTTCTTCAGTATAGCCACGAGATAAAACAAAGATGATGTGCCTGGTGCAGTGGCTCATGCCTGTAATCCCAGCACTCTGGGAGGCTGAGGCGGGTGGATCACCTGAGGTCAGGAGTTCAAGACCAGCCTGGCCAACATGGTGAAACCCTGTTGCTACTAAAAATACAAAAATTAGCCGGGCATGGTGGCACCTGCCTGTAATCCCAGCTACTCAGGAGGCTGAGGCAGGAGAATCGCTTGAACCTGGGAGGTGGAGGTTGCAGTGAGCTGCGATAGCGCCACTGCACTCCAGCCTGGGTAACAGAGTGAGATTCGGTCTCAAAAAAACAAACAAAACAAACGACAACAACAACAACAACAACAAATTAGCCGGGCATGGTGGTGTGCGCTTGTAATCTCAGCTACTTGGGAGGCTAAGACAGAATCATTTGAGCCCTGGAGGTGGAGTTTGCAGTGAGCAGAGATTGCGCTACTGCACTCAGCCTGGGCCCCAGAGCGTGACTCCGTCTCAAAAACAAACAAACAAAAAAAATTGAGACCAGGTAACTTGACTTTGAGGCAATTACTTTTAGCTTACTTATAATGGCAGCATTGTTTCTTTATGAAAATGAAACTTTCTCAGCTTATCCACTAAATTTTAAGCAACATCCCAAACCACCAAAGACTCACTCATTTTCCTTCTGGCCATCAGCAGTCTGGTGCCTTCACTTGGAACACCACCCCCCGCCCTATTTTTTGTTTTTGAGGTGGGGTCTTGCTTTGTTGCCCAGGCTGGAGTGCAGTTGCGGGATCCTGGCTCACTGCAGCTTCGGCCTCCCAGACTCAAGTGATCCTCCTACCTCAGTCTCCCAAGTTGCTAGGACCACAGGCCTGTGCCACCATGGCTGGCTAATTTTTTATTTTTTAACTTGTTGTAGAGATGGGGTCTTGCCATGTTGCCCAGGCTGGTCTCACACTCCTGAACTCAAGCAATCCTCTGGTCTTGGCCTCCCAAAGTGCTAGGATTACAGGCAGGAGCCACTATTCCCAGCCTTGGCCCCCTTTTAAGAATAGCGTGGCGAGCTGGGTGTGGCAGCTCACACTTGTAATCCCAGCACTTTGGGAGGCTAAGGAGGGTGGATCACTGAAGGTCAGGAGTTCAAGACCAGCCTGGCCAACATGGTGAAACCCCGTCTCTACTAAGAATACAAAAATTAGCCAGGTGTGGTGGCATGTGCCTGTAGTCCCAGCTACTTGGGAGGCTGAGGTTGTGGTGAGCCGTGATCACGCCATTGCACGCCAGCCTGAGCTACAGAGTGAAACTCAGTCTCAAAAAAAAAAAAAAAAAAGGCACAGTGGCCACTTCCCCTCTTGCCCCAGCCATGGCTAACATATAGACAGTGTGATCTTCCAGACACTGTGCATACATTATCTTACTGGGTCCTCACCATATACCTATATAGTGGGCACAGTTATCTCAGTTTCATAGATAAGAAAACCTGGGCTCAGAAAGGGAGAGTAAATTGCCAAATGTCACACAGCTATGAAATATCTGAGCTGGGATTCAAATCAGGTCTGTCTGACTTCAAAGCCCTTGTTCACTTTGGAGACTTTCTGGCCCTGCACTGTCCAACAGAAATATAACACAAGCCACTTATCAAATTTAACAATTTCTAGTAGCCACATTTTAAAAAGTTTTAAAAATAGATGAAAATAATTTTTAATAATATATTTTATTTAACCCAATGTACCCAAAATATTATCACTTCAACTCATAAGCGTTTACTAGTGAGATGTTTTATAATCCTTTTTTGCGCTAAGTCTTGGAAACCCAGTGTATGTTTTATACCTTTAGCACATCTCTATTCAGATGTCAAATTTTCATTGGAAATACTTGATTTGTATTCAGATTTTATAGCATTTACGATAGAGTCACATACCCTTGTTCTAATCATTCTAAAGTCTTCCAATTACTGAGCTGTGCATCACAGTTTAAATTAAATGAAGTTCGGCGGGGCGCGGTGGCACACGCTTGTAATCCCAGTACTTTGGGAGGCTGAGGTGAGAGAATCAGGAGGTGAACTCTCACTACAACCTCCATTTCCTGGGTTCAAGCGATTCTCCTGCCTCAGCCTTCCGAGTAGCTGGGATTACAGGCATGTGCCACCATGCCTTGCTAATTTTTTTTGTTTTGAGACAGAGTCCCACGTTGTCACCCAGGCTGGAGTGCAGTGGCCCAATCTCGGCTCATTGCAACCTCTGCCTCCTAGGTTCAAGCAATTATCTTGCCTCAGCCTCCTGAGCAGCTGGGATTACAGGCGCTTGCCACCACGCCTAGCTAATTTTTTTGTATTTTTAGTAGAGACAGGGTTTCACCATGTTGGCCAGGCTGGTCTCCTGACCTCCAGTGATCTTCCCACCTTGGCCTCCCAAAGTGCTGGGATTACAGACATGAGCCACTGTGCCTGGTCACTATATGTATATTTTTATATCTAGAATGAGATTTATTATAAGGAATTGGCTCAAGTGATTATAGAGGCCGAGAAGTCCTACAATTTGTCATCTGCAAGCTGCACACTGAGGAAAGGTGGTGGTGTAAATTCCAGTTTGAATCTAAAAGACTGAGAATCAGGAGTGCCAATGGTGTTTAAGTCCTAGTCCAAGGGCAGGAGAAGACCAATGTCTCAGCTTAAGCAGACAGGCAGAGAGATAGTTCAACCTTGCTCTGCCTTCCTGTCCTATTTGGGTCCCCGAGGGGTTAGATGATGTCCATCCAGATTGTGGAGTGCAGTCTACCAAAGCTAATCTCTTCCTCAAGAAACACACCCAGAAATAACATTTAACCAGATACCTGGGCAACCTGTGGCCCAGTCAAGTTGACACAAATAATTAACCAGCACAGTGTTCTGTATTATTTTCCAGTGTTCTCCAGCAGGATTAAGGCCTAGATGCCTGCAAGAAAGTTGCTTGATAAGAATGTTTATTGGCTGCCTCCCCTTCCCTGTTTCACTCCCCTACGACCCTACCAGTGTTTCCTGAGATTACTTTGCAAATCAACTACCTGCACTCAAGTACTTGTCTTAGGAGCCAGGCACAGTAGCTCACGCCTGTAATCTCAGCACTTAGGGAGGCCAAGGTGGGTGGATCACCTGAGGTGAAGAATTCGAGACCAGCCTGGCCAACATGGTGAAACCCCATCTCTACTAAAAATACAAAAATTAGCTGGGCGTGATGGCGTGTGCCTGTAATCCCAGCTACTTGGGAGGCCGAGGCAGGAGAATCGCTTGAACCCGGGAGGTGGAGGTTGCAGTGAGTCGAGACTGGGCCACTGCACTCCAGCCTGGGTAACAGAGTGAGAGTCAGTCTAAAAAAAAAAAATACTTGTTTTAGGGTCTGCTTCTGGGGAACCCAAACTAAGACAGAAAGCAGTCATTTATTCATTCAACAAATATTCATTAAGCCCTTCTATGAGTCAGACCCTGCGTAGATCATGGGGATAAAGCCTTGAACAAGACACGATGTGTCCCTCCTCTCAGGGAGCTGATAGTCCAAGGAATAGGCAGTGATAAGAAAACAAGTAATGTCAACATTTTGAATAGTGACAAATACGGTGAAGAAAATAATACAAGAAGTGATGAAGTAGTTTATATGAAGTGGTCAGAGAGGGTCTCTCTGAAGAGCTGACATTTATGCTGAGACCTAAAGGATGAGAAGGGGCCAGCCATGAAACAATTTTGGAGAAGAGCATTCCAGAAAGATCATAGTAAGAAGAGAGGCTCTGTGGGCATGGTGTCACGTGCCTGTAATCCCAGCTACTTGGGAGGCTGAGGCAGGATAATTGCTTGAACCCGGGAGGCGGAGGTTGTAGTGAGCCAAGATCATGCCATTGCACTCCAGCCTGGGTGACAGAGCAAGATTCTGTCTCAAAAAAAAAAAAAAAAAAAAAGAGAGAGGGTCTGAAATAAACATTTGCTTGGGATATTTAAAGCAAAATAAAATTATGTAGTTGAACTATGTCAACTAGAGAGAACACAGTAGGAGAAGTAAGTGGTAAGAAGTACATGGGTTGGAGAAGTAAAAGTAAGCAGGGGGCCAGACATGGTGGCTCATGCCTGTAATCCCAGCACTTTGGGAGGCTGAGGTGGGAGGATCACTTGAGGCCAGGAGTTTGAGACCAGCCTGGCCAACATGGCAAAATCCCATCTCTAGTAAAAACACAAAAATCAGCTGGGCATGGTGGTGCTTGCCTGTAATGCTAGCACTTTAGGAGGTCGAGGTCGGCGGATGACTTGAGGCTAGGAGTTTGAGACCAAGCTGGCCAACATGGTGAAACCCTGCTCTACTAAAAATACAAATATTAGTTTGGTGTGGTGGTGCACACCTGTAATCCCAGCTACTCAGGAGGCTGAGGCAGGAGAGTCGCTTGAGCCTGGGAGGCAGAGGTTGCACTGAGCCGAGATTGCGCCACTGCACTCCAGCCTGGGTGACAGAGTGAGTGAGACACCATCTCAAAAACAAACAAACAAACAAAACAAAACAAGTAAGCGGGGCCACATCATGCAGGCCCCTAGGACACAGTAGGAAATCTGGATTTTATTGCAAGGGCAACGGAAAGCTCTTAAGCTTTTTGTTTTGTTTTGTTTTGTTTTGTTTTGAGATGGAGTCTTGCTCTGTCGCCCAGGCTGGAGTGCAGAGGCTCGATCTCGGCTCACTGCAATCTCTACTTCCCGGGTTCAAGCAATTGTCCTGCCTCAGCCTCCCGAGCAGCTGGGACTACAGGCATGTGGCACCATGCCCAGCTAATTTTTTTTTTTTTTGTATTTTTAGTAGAGATGAGGTTTTACCATATTGGTCAGGCTGGTCTTGAACACCTGACCTCGTGATCCAACCACCTCAGTTGCCCAAAGTGCTGGGATTACAGGCGTGAGCCATTGTGCCTGGCCGTTTTTGTGTTTTCCTTTTTCCAGACATGGTCTCATTCTGGTACCCAGGTTGGAGTACAATGTTGAGATCATGGTTCACTGAAGCCTCAACTTCCCTGGCTCAAGTAATCTTCCTGCCTCAGCCTTCTGAGTAGCTGGGACCACAGGCACCCGCCACCACGCCAGGCTAATTTTTGTGTTTTCTGTAGATATGGTGTTTCATCATGTTGTTCAGGCTAGTCTAGAACTCCTGGGCTCAAGCAATCTGCCCATCTTGGCCTCCCAAAGTGCTGGGATTACAGGCATGAGCCACCATGCCCAGCCTGCCACGGAGAGTTTTCAGGAGAGGAGTGATATAATTTGATTTAATAAAACAGACAAATTCCCTTAGGCTGTGTGTGGGAAACTGTTCTCAGGAGACAAGGTGACCGTTAGCAGGCTACTGTGATTGTTTCTGATGAGACAGTGGTGGCCTGGGTAGTTGTAGCTACCGAGTAGACAGATTTGACATTTTGTAGTTAAAGTTGACAGGGCTTGCTGACAGGTAGAACGTGGGGATCCAGGGAGGTGAAGAAAATGACATTCAGTTCCTCCTAGTGCACCTGGAAGGATGGTTGGGCCATTTACTGAGATGGGCCAGAATGGCAGGTACAGGTTTTTGGTGAAGGTGCGTGTGTGGAAATGAAGAGTTCATGATAGAAATGGTCATCAGACACCCAAGAAGTGTCAAGTAGGCAGCTGAGCTATGGCTCTGGAACTGCAGGGAGGGTCCAGCTGGAGATGTGAATCAGGAAGTCATTAACCTACAGGACAGCACCCTCCAATACAAATAGAGCATGAACCTCTTAGGTGACTTAAAATTTCCCAGTAAGGACCTGGTACAGTGGCTCACACCTACAATCCCAGCACTTTGGGAGGCCAAGGTGGGAGGATGGCTTGCGCCTAGGTAGGAGTTTGAGACCTGCCTGGGCAACACGGGTAGACCCGTCTCTCCAAAAAAAAAAAAAAATTAGCTGGGCGTGGTGGCGCCTGCCTGTAGTCCCAGCCACTTGGGAGGCTGAGGTGGGAGGACTGCTTTAGCATGGGAGGCGGCAGCTGCAGTGAGCCATGACCACACCAATTTTTTACCCCCTGCTAGCCACATTGAAAAAGTAAAAAGAAACAACAGGTGAACTTAATTCAAATATTTCTGTCACCATAGCTACAAATAAAAAAAAAAATTCAACGAATGTACCCAATATGTCCCAACAATTATTGCAGCACATAATCAATATAAACATATATGAACTATTTGACACCATTTGACATTTCTTCTTCCACATCCGATGTATCTGACATTTAGCGCACATTTCATTTGCACTCACCCACGCTGAGGCGCTCAATTGCCTCTTAAGCCCGTGGCTAGTGGCTGCCCTAAAGTTCAGCGCCGCCACGGAGCTTTGGGTCCACCCGGACTGTAAAAACGAAGCACTTCCGTTAGAATGACCCGGCCTGAAGTACCGGCGGAACGGAAGTCGCTTGTGTATCAGCCCAGCGGCGGACCGGTGAGTGGACCCGATTTGCCGGCAGAACTAACGCCGCGGGACCCCGGGCACTGTTGCTGCTGCGGGAGGTGAGCAGCGCGCCCGCCGGGGTGGGCTGCGCACCTGCTTTTGAGTGGCGCCTGGGGCAGGAGGGGCCGCGGATCCCGGGAAGCGCGCGGTGTTCAAGAGGGAGGATGGCACGGTGGTTACGGCGTGGGGCCTGACGTCAGGCTGTCGGGGTTCGTACCCTAACCCCGCCGCCTAACCCCGTGTGACTTTGGACAGGTCACCTCCACTTCTTCCAAGGCTTCGCTTCGCCACCCGTGAAGTGGGGTTGACAGTACAGCCTGCCTCACAGGGTTGC